ACATTCTGGTCACAGGATTTCAGATTTAGAAGTAATTTATTCATGGCATTGTTGAGAAGAATATACCCCCTGACCCGTCAGATGGGCCATGACTGCAGCCTGGGTGTACAGAGTGGTGTCTCCCTTGTTTTCCCACAAGACACAGCGGCTTTTCAACTCAGTGGACACAGTACAAGAATTCAAAGTGAGCCCTGCGCTCAGAGCACCTTCCAAAGCAGCTCCATCTACAGACTCGGTTTTAGTGTGTTCTGTCTTCTCTTCCAGACCTGGACCCACCAGGGATGCCGAGGGCCCCCACGGAGCATTCATAAAACATGGTATTGAGGACCAAGTGTAAAAGCCAGCCCCCAGGCCCCAGTAGCGTGACCTTGAGTAATTGCTAATTTAGGGTCAGCATGAGGCTCGCACACAGAATAATAAAAATATTATCATATGGTTGGGTCTTAAACTGGCCCTCGTTCACAGAGTAAGGAGAGAAGGAAGGAAAAAGCTAACACTCCAGGTGGGCAGGTGGCAGTCTTACTAAGCAAGGGTCTTATATACCAGGCTTGACGTGGGCAGCCACAGGACAAGCAGATCTCTGCACCCTCTTGGCAGAATCATAAGTCTATGTAGAGGCCTTAACTTGGCTCTTCGGTCACCTGCACAGTCCAGATGGTCTCATCACCACCTTCCTGTCTCAAGGCTTGTCCTTGAAACCGCTGCTAGTGCAGGACTAGTGGGCGGGCCATGCATTCCAAGGCCAAAGATGGGGAAGGAGCCCCCCTTTGTTAGGATCCTGATCTCTGGTCGACCAGAGGTCTTGTCCTCCAGATGACTCCCGCCAATACATGTGCTCTTCACGGCTGCATTTGGGCTTTAAGAAACATGCAACAAATGGTAGCAAATTCTACCCATCTTCAACCTCAAAGGCACAGACTCAGAGGGCTTCTGCGAACTCCATGTCACCTTGGTGAGCATGGCTGTCCTCTGTGTTCAATGAGAACCATCTCACAATGGATCCTTGAAGAAGAAATTGGGTGGGACGAAGAGAAAGAATCCTTACATGATCCCCATCACCACCACCCCACCCTGTCCTGACAGGACATACTACACTCTGCCCTTGCCCCCAGGCCTCTGTCAATTGACCCAGAGCTTGGAAAGCCCCAGGAGGAAGTGTGTCACCATGGTCTAGACCACATGTGTCAAACACAAGGCCCGCGGGCCAAATCCGTCCTGCCAGGCCTTGCAATGTGGCCCGCACCGAGCTGTCATCACTGCACTCTGCTGCGTTTCCATCACAATGACAGTTTATGACTGTTCAGTAAACCATTCGGCCCGCGATTTAGGCTGGATTTTAGATTTTGGCCCCTTCTCTGATTGAGTTCGACACCCCTAGTCTAGACTAGAGCAAGTCTGGATGCTGCCTTAGCAGACATCTTCTGCCAGCCACATCACCCTGAGCCTCAGTTCCATCCTTGTTAAGATGGGGCTGAGAGTACCTGCCCCATGGTGCTTAGCACAGCGCCTAACTCAATACAAATAAACACCTCCTAGGTGGGAACACATCTAACACACTGTTTTACTGGAGCCAATTAACTTCCTTCCAGATGCACTGCATGATGTGATTTTCCATGTCCCATACCAACACATGGATGATCTCTACTGCACTGGATGAGAGCTAAACATTCTGTTTATTTGTCCACATTCCATTTGGTTGGTGGTCATGGGGCTGAAAGTCAAACACTGATGCTCCTGTCCGAGACAGATTGTGGGAGCAAGGGATTTTCTCTTCTGTAAACTTGAGGGCTGGATACTTGGTGACTCTAATTTTACTTCCAGAGCGAAAATTGTCCTTAATAGGAAACAGTGAAAACCAAATACCACATGGTTGCAGCTCCTTCACACTTGCCAAACGCTTTCATTACGCCTGATTTTTTCAAGAATCCAGTGAGGCCATCTCCATCAACACAAGGGACAACTGTGCTCGCTGAGGTGGCGTGACTGGCTCAGGCTCTTCTTCCTGCATGTGCACAAGGGAGTCGGATTCAACCCTAGGTTTACTGCTCCCTGAACTCCATGCCCTTTCTGTTATACTTTCTATTTAAAATAACAAAAACTGATTGGCAAGGCTGTATAAAATTCACACACTGAAAATTTGAACGAGACTTCCTTTTCATAGACTGAGGGCTGGGAAGCACCCAGATGGCAGGTCGCACATCCAGGAGGCTGTGCTGTCAGTGGAGAGATGGCTAAGCAATGAACAGGTCCAAGACCACCGAGGCCCAGTGTAGGAGCACCTGGACATCCATCGAGGGTACAAGCACGTTGTCATAAACCTCAATTCAGACAAGTGAACTTGGTGGCTCTCATTCTTCTCTGAGAAGAAGCCAGTTGGGGAAAGACGTTTATCACCCCTCCCCCTCTCATTTCCACTTCCTGAATACACAGTGCAGAGCTAGGAGACTCCAGTTTTTGCCAAGGAAATGTGTCCAGAGCAGGGGTTCTCCAACTTTATGTGCATTAGAATCACTGGGGGCTTATTAAGACAGATTTCTGGGCACTAGGGTGGGGCCCAGAGTATCTGCGTTTCCAAGTCCCAGGTACGGCTGATTCTGCTGGTCTGTCAGTCATGCTTGAGGTCCACTGAGAGACCAGTCAATCCCTCCTCAAGTTGCTCATGATGACTGTTCTACCTTCTTACAAGGAGACAGGCAGCTCTCTGCCCACCCCCCATGCACACCTAGAGCCACACAAACAGAAGTGGGGGTGTTTTGCTCACCATTGCAACAACAGAGAAATGATGAAGTGTGTGAATGTGGCCTCGAATCTTCCCAAAGCACTATGAGGTGCACATTGTGGGGGTCTGTGAAGGGGAGACATTGTGTGTGTGTGTGTGTGGGGGGGAATCTAGGCTGTTTCTCTGCTGTCTTCCAATATGAGCCAAGGTGGGTTCAGATGCAGCTGTTAGATGTTTATAAACAGTTCCTTACAGGTAAATTTGAAGATGGTTCAAGTTCTCAGGTGATAAACAGGAGGCTGTATGTGTATATATGCATGTGTGTGCTGTATACATATAATCTATTATGCCATGCCAGGCACTCAAAGATCACAGGCAGCATCACTGGGCACATGTTGACCACCCCTGCCAGAGGGTGCTCACTTGAGAGAAGGCTGCATCTGAGTGCTTTATAAGGATCCACAGAATGCCGAAACTGGTTTGGCTCAGTGGATAGAGCATCAGCTTGCGGACTGAAGGGTCCCAGGTTTGATTCCGGTCAAGGACATGTACCTTGGTTGCCGGCACATCCCCAGTGGGGAGTGTGCAGGAGGCAGCTGATCGATGTCTCTCATCGATGTTTCTGACTCTCTCTCCCTCTCTCTTCCTCTCTGTAAAAAATGAATAAAACATTTAAAAAAAGGATCCACAGAAAACAGTGCTTTAATAATATGCTTGCCTTCCTTAAACTAGTATTTTTGAACAATTATTGACTTAGTAGAAAAAAACCAACACTTCAGTATGTATTTTCATCAACTTTATAAAACTATGCATTCTCATCCGAGTGCAAAGGAGTTTTTACAGACACCCAAAGAACGTATCTGTGATGAGAACATTTATTTTCTAAGGGGAGCAACAGCTGAGACATAGCTATATGCCTACCTCCCCGGAGCTTGATCCCGGTTCCAGAGCTCTGAGTCAGTAATAAACCACTCACTGAAGGCTTGTAAATTTATGTAAGAGAGTTTCTTCTAAAGCATTTTAATAAAGTTCTGTGTGAAGTCAAATAAGAACAAGTGTTTGTATAATAAATTACATGTAGGGAACTTTTAAATACAAGTGCAAGACATCAAGAATATATTCTTTTTTTTGGTTTATTAAAACAAAACTACAAGTCTGTGCTTCTTACAATACATTATTAACAGGCATAAAAATCAATTAATGTTTCCAAATAAGTGCTGCTCACAAAATCACACAGTGTTATTTCACAGTGAGAGTAATTCCTTTTACAATTCAATGTTTCTCTGTACAACAGGCACATAGTTTAATACCTTCCCTCAGGGCATTTCTGTGCTTTAGGTGTTTAGAAAGAAATTCAAAAGCCTCTTCCAAATGCAATCATTAGTTTGTATTAAACTAAAAAGCCAGATGCCAAGTCTCCAGTTCCTAAAAAGTGTTTTAAAAAAGATTTACATCCAAATTAAGTTTTATAAACTTCAGTCATAGGTCCTGTCACTTCTAAATACTAGAACTATCTGTGGATAAAAATCTACATTCAATTGTGCAATTTTTTTTTTCCTTCTAAATCTGAATGAAAATCTTACCCCAGTTAATCTGTGTTAATTTTGCTGCTTTCAGTGAAAAAGCCGAGACCACTGACACTGATCCTTCCCACTGAGGACAGGGCCTGACCACCTGTCTTGGTTTTCTGTGCTGTCAGTAGGGGAGGAAATAGCCATTAAATTAAGGTGACCAGATGTCCTGATTTTTAACAATTTGTCCCACGGTGTTTTAAAAAAAAAGTCCCGATTTTTGGAAAGATTCTTTTAAATCTTTTTAAAACGCCAAGGGACGCAGGACAATTTGTTAAAAATCAGGACTGTCCTGATCTGGTCACCTTACACTAAATGTAACACCTGCCTCAACACCCTCTCAGTTACTGTTGTATCCCCTTAAAGATACAACCTAGTGTTCCCCAAAATGTTTTCCAGGGGGAACCAGTGAGCTGTTCCCAGACCTCTGGAAGGGGAAAGGGCCCTGGGGTCGCTGGTGAAAGGCTGCCGTCCTCCCAGACCCTGCGCCCTCACTGTGCTGAGTGCACGGAGTTCCCAGGAAGAGGACCACGGCCAAACTTGCTTTCCCAGGGACACTTTCTTCTGCAGAGCAGCCGCCATCCCGGAGCACCTGCCCCCGAAAACAACGGGAAATGCTTCCCTCCGGGTGACGGGAATTCCACAGCTGAGCCTGTATTCCCGGCCTTTCCCAGGTGGTCTCTCCACTCAGAGGGAGGCTCCTCGTATTCCTGTCACTAGTCCCACACATTCCACTCTAGTTCTTTCCCTTTGTTTTTCTTAAAATGTAAGAGATCAAAAGCACTTCCCTTTTTCTGAGTGACTTGGGACATTCTCTTTTTGAAAGAGTGCAGTTTCATATCGTTTATGGTTGGAGTTTTTTGTTTGTTGGTTTTGTAACTTGACTCACAGCCTTTCCCTGGAGGCATGCATTTCAGATTCAGAGAAATGCAGAGTAAACGGTAGTAAATTATTTACAAGCACCTAGTTTGTTTAATCGTACATGGAGCCATCCGCTTCGGGGAAACAATGAGAATAAATCTAAGCAAAGCTGGAAACCTTACAGCCATACGGGTGTTCTCGCAACGAGGGTCAGCTTGCTTGGGTGAGCATAACTTTGGTTGAGATTTTTCTTCCTTAAAAAGGGTTTGAAGCACCAGTTAATTACAAAAAAAGGCATGCATATTTATTCTCACAGTGAGCTGAGTGGCGAGAGACCCAGTGAGCCATACATTACATTCCCCAAAGCATCTGATTAGATTCCTAGCAAACAAACCAACCAAGAGGGAAACTGAGGGAAACAGCCAGGGGAGCCGAAGCCGTGGTCCCTGCTCGGGCTGGCCCGGCCGCGGCTCCAGCAGAATCACAAGCAGGGCAGCAGCGTCAGCCACTAGGAAGTCTGCCAGCAGTGACATTCCGGAGGGGAGAGGCGGTGTAAGTAACCTTGGTCGCTAATTTAGGGGATGAAGTCAAGAGTCTAGATGTTGGCTGGCCCCCATAGGGAGCACCCAAGGGGATAACTAAGCCTCCCCATGTTCTCCCCCGGACATAGAATGCCCGGTTAGTAAAGCGGAAGCCACAAGGTGAAGCCCACACTCCACCCCGGAGCCGACAACACTGACGGTAGCTGAATGGTACACGTTTCCTACTAAGAAAGTATGTTCCAAACGGGGGATCTGCAAAGAGTGGGGGTCGCAGCAGCACAACCTTATTGCTATGAGTTCCAAATGAGACATTTCATTCAAAGTGAAATATCAGTCAGTGCCTTTCCTCTCCCAAGCACAGAATATTCATGAGATACGATTAGTGTTTAAAATCCAAGCTTATGAAAGCACAAACTTCATTCTCAGTACTTCTATATTAAATTCAAAGACAATATGCAATATTCATTAGGAGGGTTCCTCGTCCCGTAATACCTTGGAGAGGAGGAATAATGAGCTGTGAGAAAATGTTTTAATATCACATCTTAAATCACCAGAAATTACCAAAACTGATGAACACTTAATGCTCCCCGCTCACAAAAAGGCACCTCTATTATGAAGAGACAAGTTTTCATGATTTGCCGCTACGTGGCGTCAGGGTTGAGGCATATTAACTCGTTAAATTTTTAAAGAACCTTGATTTTGCCTCCCAGCTAAAGATCCATAAATGTCTCCAACCATTCACCAGGCCACCACGAAGGCCGCACGGGTGGCACACTGCCCGCCCCAAGTGGGTCCCAGGCCCCCAGCCAGCCTCACACACACACTGTGTGCAGCACAGGAAGCCCTGTGCATGCAGCCTCGGCCAGAGCCCTTTCTGCACCAAGTCTCCCAGGCCGTGCCAACCACGCTGGGACAGCCGTACCTATGAGAGGCGGGGACCACCTGAGGGGTGGGAAAGGGTACAGCCATGAAACGGAAGTCATTCCTAAATACTTGCTGGTCATTTAAAACACAGTGGTACATTTTTATCTGAGCACAAGTTTTCCAAGTCAGTTTTCTGGCCGAGCTCACCTTGAATCTTGCCAGCCTGGTGTCAGATAATGTCATCATGCTATCTCCATCCCTGACCTAATCTAACATTGTGTTCTCGCGCAGCTCTGAAAACACGTCCTCAATCTGACCAGCGCAGGCCAGCACAGGGATACCTGGGTGGGATGTGCACCTGCCCATTCTTTCATAAAGCACTTTGGGTTGACAATTATTTTTAAAGGAGGATTAACAGTTAATCAGAAAATATACCAATGAATTCCCGACAGCATTATGTATCATCAAGATTCAGTTCAAGAATACTATTTTGTCCTTCACATTAATTAGTCCTTAACAGTTATATTTAAAATGTAAATCTTTAATAAACTCCAAAATCTTTGCTGAGATTTCATTCTGTAATCTACTGATTAGAAACTGCAAGCGGAGGCTGGGGGCCCCGGAGCGCTATCTGCGGGCCACTGTGCGCCTTGGAGTCAGGATGGTCACAGGCCCACGAGGGGAGAAGGCACTTGCTTTCCAGGAGGCCACGGCAGGGTAGGGCGGGCCTGGCCGCAGGACGCACCTCCCACCTGGAGCCATAAAGGGCTGAGCCTGCCAGGGGCCATGCACGCCCTTCACCTGCCGACAGCTCATTGCTACAGCACCACAAAGCTCAGGAGATATTCCAGGAGTTTCTGCCGGTTGCACTGAGGTAGGAAAGTGCTGCTGAGTTCCAAAATAGACACTCTCTTTTGTTTGGTCTCTTTGAAAACCTAGAGAGAAAGTTTCAATTAAATGCAAAAAACAAACAAACAAAAAAAACACAAACCACAAACAAAAACTAAACAAAAAAAAGGACATTCCCGTCACCAACCCTAACTGGTGTCTGAAACCCCAGAAGCAGTAGGTCATAACAAACTGTCTCCTGCCTTTAAGCACAAGCTCTGCCCGTGTCTGCGAGCAGGGTTGTGGTGCAGGTGTGGTGCTGGTTTCGGGGAGGGCAGCCAGTGCACTAGCCTCTTCCGTTTATGGTGGAATAAAGTCACGGTCCCTGTCAAAGCCCACTGGTACCTCTGTGGAACCCAGAGCCACGTGATACGAGAAAGCACAGCACAGCTGAGGATTCTTCTAGAAATACTTAGGAGTAAAATACAGCAAAATCAGTCAGAACCATGGGGCACCATCAACACCCCTGCCCAGCGGCCAGAGCATCTGGAAACACAGGGACACATTCTACGCAAACAGGTTTAGAATGGAGGTGAAAATCAGCAAAACTCTGGAACTTTCAAAGAAAGCTGCACTGGCAGGCCTCACCTTTAACATGCCCCACACATCCCCAAAAAGGCCTTCAGGGCTAATCCAGCAGAAACGGCTCCTCTCGGGGTCCACCCCCCCCCCCCCACCAAAGAGGGCTCAGACAGACCAGGTCTAAAGGGGAAGAGGACGGAGGTTAACACGTGCTTTTCTACCACAGCACGGGCACTTACCCCAATATCCTTAAACATTTTCACAGCATTCTTCACGAGACAGTATGTGGCACTCTCAGCTGTAGAGAAAGAGTGAGACCCTGTCAAATGTTCAGCCCAGCAAAACCCACATCCACAGTGAGAAGTGCAAAGGCCAGAGCACCAGAGCGAGTCAGCAGCGGGCAGCTCCACGTTAAACCAACTTTACCATCTTTTAAGGGGAAAAAAAAGGAGAGAAGAATAAGGAGAAAGAGAGAGCAGGAGGGAAGGAGGAAAAGAGATAGGGAGAGAGGAGAAAGGAAGGGGGGAGAAAGGGAAGGAGAAATAATTAAAGCATCTGCCTTAAAGGGGTTTTGTGAGAATCAAAGGAGATGCGTAGAAATCCATGTTTGATGCACAAGTGATTGCTGCAGCAGTGGGGCCAGAAAGAGTACAAGGCTGGAGGTCAGGAGTTCCAACCCAGTTCTGCCCAGGAACCAGCTATGTGACCTGAGTGGCTGCGTCATTTAGAAAGTGACCGATCTAGATCGGATCTGCACATCTCTCTAGGTAAAAGCTCTATCTCTAGGTCCCTCTGTCTCTAAAAACTCCTACTCACAGTTGTTTCAGTTCTAAACCCTAAGTGTATAAAATGCTGCCCCCACGCCAATCACGCCTTTACACAACAGACAATATCAAGTGCCAGCCAGGAGGTGGAACAACTGAGCAGGCACAGCTGGTGGGAGTGCCAACTGGCCCACCAAGTGGGCACCATCTGGCCGGACCTACTAACGCTGAACCTACACACCCTGTGACCAGGCAACTCTGCTCCTGGATATGCACCCAACCTGATGTGAAACATGTCCACCCGAAGATGTGTGTGCAAACCTGTGCCAAACAGCCTACTCCCAGGGACTCTGAACTGCCAACAGCCCAAACATCCATCAACAGCAGATTGTTGAATAAAATGTGCTAAATATTCATACAATGGGCAACTACAAAGCAATAAGAATAAACAAACAACTACATGCAGGAACCTCACAAATGATGGGACTATAGACTGAGAGGTCAGCCCAAAGTCCAGCAAGGATGGGGAATGGTGAGGCTCTCCCTGTGCCCCGCAAGACATGCATGTTCAGATAAGCCACTCTCATGTGTGAAAGCAGGATCACTGGCCCATCTTGAAACCAATAAAACCCCAAAGGGAAAAATTTGTCATTTGGAATCTCCAGAAGCCATATCTCCTGACTGTGTGTGTGTGTACTAGGCGTGTCATCCTACTGAGAGAAAGTACCTGACCTCTCAGTCTATAGTCCCATCATTTGTGAGGTTCCTGCATGTAATTGTTTGCAATTCCCCCCTATAACTAGCATTTCTGTAATCTAAGAAGTCAGAGATTTCAAAGAAGCCAAACCAGTGGCACGCGTACCATAGGCGGCAACATTTTTTTCTGTCCTGGTTATGAGGTATTTGTGCAGCCTCTGCAGGTACTCCGGCTCGGGGACGGGCCCGCTGAAGTTGTGGACGAACATGGCAGCGGAGCTGTAGGCCTCCAGCAGCGGGCCCAGCAGCCTCTGCAGGAAGGTGATGAACTGCTGGTGCTCCTTGGATTGGCTCACCTGAGAAAGAGCAGAGACAACACATAAGGAGGCACAGCAGCAACGGCACGCTGACAGGGGACCCTCCTGGGAGAGCCAGTGACTGCACAGCGCTGCCTGCCACTCGTGCGCACAGTGGGAAACGACTCTCGGTGCTGAAATGCGTTCTTTTTCGCAGTCATTGACTTTTACAGGACTTGAGATTTGCATGCATTGAGCAGCTGCCTAGAAGGAATCTCGGTATTTGAAGAGCACAATTATGACACATTGTCATCACTGAAAGTGGCTGGTCCTGAGGTTAATCTCTATGGGGCTGGAAGCCTGTCTCAACAGTTACTCAAGGACACAAAAAGGTCACATGACAAGATCACAAGATCATCTCTGTCCTCCCTAGTCCCCACTTCCTGGCACCCCCCATCGTCCTTCAGCCCAAAGTCCAGCAAGGATGGGGAATGGTGAGGCTCTCCCTGTGCCCCCCAAGACATGCATGTTCAGATAAGCCACTCTCATGTGTGAAAGCAGGATCACTGGCCCATCTTGAAACCAATAAAACCCCAAAGGGAAAAATTTGTCATTTGGAATCTCCAGAAGCCATATCTCCTGACTGTGTGTGTGTGTGTGTGTGTACTAGGCGTGTCATCCTACTGAGAGAAAGTACCCACTTAGGGTATTCAGAAAAGATGGGTCATTATTACTGATCTCTAAAATTTTAAGTTAGACAAAATTTATTTTCTAAATGAGGGACAACCAAACTTCTAAATATCCAAATTTTCTCCTGTGATAGGATTTGTTTTCATTGAAGGCAAACAGCTGATGCAGAACATTCAGAAGGGATGGCAAGACTGACAATGGCTCAAAGGAGCAGCCAGGCCAAGGACAGTGGGGTGGTATTCTCTCCCACAGCTGGTGTGGTACCCCCTTGCTTGGTGACTGAACACAAACACGCCTCTTTAGGCATGAGTGCGCGTGTGGGCACACATCTGCACCTGCCTGTTCTGTGCGAGGTCATGAATGGCACCATCTAGGACATTCACCTTTCTCAATGTCCACTCTTGTTTCCTCTTCCATTCAATTATACTCAAGCTGAACAATTTCAGGTATTAATTCAACAGCTCAAGAGCCTTTATTCACTAGGCAGAAAGCACCACGCTGGGCTGTGGGTGCTTTGGCTATGAATGAGTCACCAGGGTCCCAGTTTATCAGCCTCATTAGCTAGTGGAAACATGAACCTCAAGTCATCACTGTAAAGTCCTCCAGAATTCTTCCCCAAAGTACCTTCAGGTAGCAGTCTCGCTGCTCCTCGCCAAAATCACTGTCTTCGTCTTCTTCATCACTTCTCCAGGACAAAGGTTCGGGAAGCTTCTTGTCCCACTGCTGCTCAGCAAGACCGGGGCTGACATCTTCCTGGTCATCTTGCTATGCCAGGGGACGAGCAAGAGTCGGCAAATAGTCACAGGCACACGCCGCTGCCAGCTGGACCCACCACGGCAGCTTCTCTCATTCCCTCTCCACGCCTCTCTGCCCACCACTTACAAGGTCCATCCACCTCCCTCTCCAAACTCAGAATCACTCAGGAGAGCGAGGAAAGAACAAAGGAAAGGGGGGGGGGGGCGCTACCAAACACATCAAATAACAACACCTTCACCTTTTCTAGGCCATACTCACTCTACTACATTTACCAACATTGAAACAAAATCTCAAAACAGAAAAATGCATATGTGCAAGCTACAAGCACACTGAGAGGTAAAACATCTCATCTTAGAACAACTTCAGGACCCGGAATTGTCAGGATATGTTTTAGACAACACCATTTACACAGAAGGAACCAAACGTCACACAATCCCTAAGACGTTTACTCTCCCCATGCTGACTTTTCTCTTCTGTAGATTTGACTACAAATCTAATGTAATTACCAGTTACAATAATGGGTTGTAATATTGATTAAAGTAGTTGGTGGAAAAGAAAAGAAATGAAGAGCAAGAAACTAAACAAAGGCGAGCGATTCTCCTTACCTCTGCAACAGTGAGAATGCCGTACTGGATGAACCTGCCCACTGTTTCATGGCAGACTTGGTAAAACGTCTGGCAGGGCTGGAAAGAAGAGACATTTCAAGGTCAATGTCACGATCCTATACCTCTTTTAGTAAAAACAGAAAAACACGGTACAAAGTAGCTGCCAAATGTTTCCATGATATAACCTACCTTAGGACTGGGCCAGTCCTATGATTTCCAATGCCCACCCTCCTGGTAAATGTGGGTGGTCATGGGCAAAGCCTCAGAAGAGGCCTCGTTCTCCAGACTGGCAGAGCACATAGTGTGGCAACACCCAAAAAAGGGTGCTCCCAAGCTCAGGCTCCCCCCACCCCAAGGGAAGCAGCCCTTAGAGGGGCCGCTTGTCACACCCCACCACCTATTCTTCTTCTTTATAAGACAATTTCTCTGCAAAAGCTGTCAAAGGTTTGTGTAGATATTGTACACAAAGGTGGTGGATGAGGAAACACAATGTCCAATATTCAAAAAAGATCCAGGAAAAGGATAAAGGCAATCTTGAGAGCCTATTTACCCTCTCCCTTCTGAGTCCCCACCCCACCCTCCCAAGGCTGAGGCAGAACAGATTCCCCAACAGGCCCAGCAACATGCTCCTATGAAGAAGCCCGTGGAGGTGGTCCCTCATCACACACATGCTCACAGATGTCCCACGTGCAGGACAGAAGACTTTAAATAGAATGAGTTCTACCTGTTGATGGCTTTGAAGAAAGAGATCTCTACTGCTTAACATGTATGCCTCCTTATAAATGTCTGCAAGTGCGTGGACATAACATGCATGCTCATCAGGACTGCGGGGCCTCAGTGTCCCCATTTGTAAAGTGAGGATGGGGCTGAGATGATTTTAAGACTGTTTCTGACTCTCATCATCTGTGGTTCCATCATCCAGGAATGAGAGTATTAATTATTTACAAACCTCTGACCCAGCGCTTTATGTGGAATAAGAGCTCGGTAACCTTGGATCTGACTGATGCCGAATGTCAACCAGTTGCCCAACACACCTCACAGGGCACAAAGCGGTCACCGGAGCAGTGACCCCAGAAGCCACATCCACACAATAAACAACATATTAGTCTAGAGGTCAGGAGTAGAATGCAAAGCCTCAGTAGTAGAAAAAAACAAAAGTTGGTTTATTCTATATAATGAGAGAAATATGCTAATTATCTGTCAAGCCCTGACAACTGCATAACCACTGAATCAGGGATCAGCAGGAGGGTGGGGCAGAGAGCTCCAGGAGGGCGGGGCAGCGAGCTATGAGCAGGGGAGAGCTAACAGCAGTGGTGGGCAGGTGGCCAGCTGAGGAAAGCAGCAGCAAGCTACTCATATTTTCATAAAAATGCTCCAGAAAAAGAGAACAGGCAAAGAGTTGTTACTTACGAGAGAGATGGTGCCCTCGTTAGACAGCAGGTAGCACAGGCTGGCTGCCTTCCGTACCAGCTGCTCCTGGCTGATCAGGGTGGGGGCCCCAGCGGCAGGCGCGCCTGCACCCTTCTTGTTCAGGACTGCGTAGAGGCTGCAGGCTGAGGAGAGGAAAGCATCAGTGAAGCTGCTGTCTCAGAGCTCCAGGAAAACTTCAACTGGCTCAGAGAGCTCGGACTACCTTACTGGACTGTGACATCAAAAATAATTCCCTGCATTTCAGGGTGAAATGTAAGTAAATCCCCTTAGGACTTACTTCTCATGAGTCCATGTGAAGTCCAGCTCCATCCAAGGCCTTCCTCTGGGGCCCATTCCCTCTGTTCTCTTTCTGCCCGTGCCCCTGATCACAACTGAGCCCCAACACTCACATCACCACCCCGTGTCTGTCTCCTCTCACTCAGTCTTTCAGCTCCTGGACGGCAAGACACCTTACCTCTCTCCCTCAATCTTAAGTGTAATACTATGCCCTAACTCATGAGCTACAATACTTACTGAATAATAGATGTAAAAATAAGCTACAAACAGTGATACAGATTATATTCTTATTTGAAGTTTAAAAACAGAGCAACACGTTCCCTCAACCAGGGGTTATCATCCAAACCGAAGTAGACCCCAGGGTGTTTTAGGCCCTCGTATTTTCTATGAAAATGTTCCAGGGCCCAACATACCTATGATGGCCTCCATGATAAAGACGTGCAGGACACCGTTGCTGTAGAAGTTAAGTTCAAAGACTGATGGGACAGTTGTGCTGGGAGTAATAAAAAACTCATCGTTCCTGCTGGTGTGCGAGATTGTGACGCAATTTCCCAACAACTGTATGGCATGTATGACCACATCTTCGGAATTTCCCGAGAACCCCAGGTCAAAATCACGGGCCAGCACTTCTTCCTTCATCACAAAGAAGTCCTCCACCAATGTGGAGAGATCAATTCCCTAGAGAAACACACAGAAATGGTCTCATGACAGTGGAAAACTACTTCCCAAAAGGCTGAGAGGCTGTTCAGAGGGTTTTTTTCTTGCCTTGGCTTTCCTGCAGCTTCATGTCAGCACATACTGAAAAGGGGTCACACCATCAATGCAGAGAAAGTAAAAAAAAAAAAAAAAAAGGATTAAAAAGCCAGTCCCCCATAACGTCAAGAAATTGATATTCCGCCTCCAGAGAGCACTCTAGCCACACATGTGATATGAGCACATAAGATCACAGAGAGCAGAAGCCACCATCTGAAAGTAAGAAGTGCTTATTTTTAGCAAGAATTTCCCCTTATTAAACACCTATCTGACAAATACTTATTGGGTGCCTATAGATACTGGCACTGTATTTGGTGAGAACATGACAGACACAGCCAGTCCCGTCTTAGCATAGTGCATTGTGGTCTTAAACACAAATCAAATAGCAGGAAAGCCATTTGCTATCTGCATGTCAATTAAAATATGCTTTATTTATATTAACTATACCTCTCAAAGTATGTCTATTACTGTGTGTGTGTGTATGTATATGTTGTTATTTACATTAACCATACCACTCAAAGAATGCCTTACTATTACTGTATCTATAATAATGAAAGCATAATATGCTAATTAGACTAGACATTTGGAACGAAGCCGCAGTAGATGGGCTGAGGCAGAGGCTGCTGCCACGGCAGCTGAGGAGCCTCTTGCACAAATTTTGTGCATCAGGGCCTCTTATATATATATGTGTATGTGTGTGTGTGTACATATGTACATGTACATATGTGCATATACATATATATACACACACACATAACTCAGTCTCTGAGTTTTTTTCATGTAGATTTTGTCATTGGATTTGTAAGTTCCTGTGGGCAAGGTTCTTGGCTTATATTACTGTTTGTCTCACAGTCCTGGCCAGGAATGGGCCAAATCTATCAGAGCATCAGATCTGCACAGCTGACAGAGCAGTCTCACGCGTAGTCTGTAGCTTCAGGTGATGCGGCGGACATACCTGCCTGTGTCTGTAGAGCAGCAGGCAGGCCACGATGTGTGTTGACATAATGGCACAGGATTTGCTAGCAGCTGAAAGGCAAGCACAGAGCTTCAGTTTCACTTAAAAAAAAAAAAAAAAAATATATGTATATATATATATATATATATATATATATATATATATATATATATATATCTGGGCCATTAGAGATCACTATCCGTCATATAACAGAATTCAGTCTAAGGTAGGTGCACCTTAAATTGAGGATAATGGAGTTTAGTTACTGAATGACCTGGAGACACCTTTATGAAAATACCAAGACCCAAAGCCTGAGCCCAATCTCCGAGCTCTACAGCACATCCCACTGCTATTTCTTGACTTGTCCCAGGTGACAGTCTACTGTAACTATACTTCCATACTCATCCCACAGGCCGGAAAGTCAGGAAATCTGGGCACAAAACCTAACTTCTACGCTGACTAATTTCACAACTTGGGGGAAATTACTTAAATTCCCAAGCCTCAGCTTCCTCAGGGGAAAAATGAGAGCGCGGCCTAGTCCATGGGCTGCGTGAGAATGAAATGGATGGCCTGCCACAGGACCCACAGGGATGCTGCTCCATGTATTTTCACCTCCTCTTTCAACCCGGCCCAGAGATAGGTGAGAGGTCGGGAAGAAGGGGACGTAAATATTAAATACATTTGAAATGACTCTAGTCCATACACAATACTCTGAGTTTGCAGAAAATTATAATCATATAAATCAAATACGAGAACATCTGTAGAATAATCTGAACTAAATGCCATTGGGGAGTTTTCTGATATGAAATACTTCATTCACAGCTGATATTGTCTCCAGTGTTTAAAAAAACAAAACAGTATCCAGTACTATATTTACAGCCATCAAAAAGAACATTTATAAAGAGGTTTAAAAAAAAAAAAAAACATAAATGCAAATGTGTTACAAATGGAAAAGAGCACAAGGTAAAATTGCCAGAAGGATTTTTAGAAACCAGATTGCAACAATGCTGGTTACTTGGACAGTGGGTTTTGTTTTTATTTTCCAACTCTCCAGCATTAAGGATGTATTATTTTAGCATCCAGAATCCAAGCACAAGAGACACGTCAGATGAGCCTGAGAAAGAACACTCTGTGCTCTGTCCCGCACGAGGCAACAGCAGCTGAAGTGGAATGAGCCAGAGAAGGCATGGACACCAACACCGGCAGGAAGTGCTGAGATTTGGAGCTGATGGGGGATGGAGTGGAGACAAGAAGTGGAGACAGGAGCCTACTGGGCTGCATACCAAGGGACTGAGATGCTGCCCCAGGACTATAAAGCCACATCTACCGCATGACAGGACACTGCAATCTGGTCCTTAAGGAAGACTGGCTCTGCACTCACCGCACTCCACTCTGGATCCCTTCCGCATAGTGTTTATGTACAACTACCCCCCTGAGAACAGCACAGGCTCTGTAGGTGCTGAGCCACTAGCTCCTCAATCTGTATCCCCACAGCTAAAGCAAACATTACACAGAACAGCCCCTCGATATTTGAGCTGCACTACAAGTTAGTTCAAGGAAACACATTCATGAGCAAAAGAGATAACAAATCACTGTGGCAGTGCTGTATATTATTAAAGCATGAGCACCACTCATCGGGCACTGTGTGAGATGTTTTACTCGATGACCCACCACATCACCTTCTGGCTAATAACCCATCTATCACCGCCTGTGTGTGTATCAGGTACCAGAACTAGAAGTGGAACCAAAGCAGAGCAGATTCCCGAACCTGTACGGTCTGCCCTGCAACACGCTGGTCTGCACCGCAAACCAGACTGTTGCTCCACTTACTGAAGAGGATGTGCTCAGCCAGATTAGCGATCAGTCTCCTCCGGAATGACTCCTCTGTCTCATTGCTGGAATCGTCAGGGGACGGCTCAGCACCTTCAGCAGCAGCATCATTGGGTCTGAAAAAGTTCCTTAAAAATTAGACTTCTGCAATCCCACTCTTTCACAAAGCAAATTATGATGGCCTAAGGCCATGGTCGGCAAACTGCAGCTCGCGAGCCACATGTGTCTCTTTGGCCCCTTGAGTGTGGCTCTTCCACAAATTACCACGGCCTGGGTGAGTCTATTTTGAAGAATTGGCATTAGAAGAAGTTTAAGCTTTAAAAAATGTGGCTTTCAAAAGAAATTTTAATTGTTGTACTGTTGATATATGGCTCTGTTGACTAATGAGTTTGCCGACACTGGCCTAAGGGATGAATGTATAACACACTGTAAGTTACTATATATTCTAAATTTAAACCACAAGTAGATTATTTCTATGGGTTGTTTTACTCCATGATATACTCTACTATGCCCAATACATTCTCTTGGAGGAAATACATTATTTAGTTATAACTAAATAGTCTACTGATACATCATTTCCAAACCCACTGGCTGGAAAAAAAAAAAGGGGGGGGAGGGGGAGAAAGCAAGATACTTCATTTTAAAACATTTAGGGAAATTTATCAAATAGATTTTAGAATGAAATAAATAAAAAACCTCCAAACTTTGAAAGCACATCACTTCAAAAGTTACTCAAGCTCAGAAATGAAAATAAGAACATGCATGTTCTCACTCAAGTTAACCTATTTTTCTTTGCAATGTAAGACCTAATAGATATCTGATAGTTTAGCCAGTATAAAAAATTCCCCCAAACCTCACCTTGAAGGAAGTATAGCGGGGAGCAAGGCTTGTTCCAGAGAAAGAGGGGCAGACACAGGTTTCTGACTCTGGCTTTCTAAATATTCCTGGAGGGGAAAAAAACAAACATTTGCTCTCATTGTCTCATTTACATAAACATATATAAAATATACTCAATCTTCAAAAAGTAAAAAAGGGAGTTGTTTCATCAAATCAGCTATGCTACAGAGATCTACTTCTTATATCCTAAACCATCTTCAGGAGTCCAGAATGACCAGTAGGATGCTGTCAGACATAAAATTTAAGAACTGAAAATACAAAGAACAGAATGATGCTTAAGCAAAATTATTTATAAATTAAAGGAGAACAATTAACTTTTCTCACATCTTAAATAAATTATTTGACATTCCCAATATTATTACTGGTAACTGAGATAACCATGATTTATATAAAGGAAATCTGACAACCTGAGAGTCACATAATATTCAAAAGAACTTCAACCCAAAAGCAAATCATAACAAGAAAGAAAAGCTGTGCAATCTTTTTTTTTTTTTTTTTTTTAATAGTAAGAATGATGGGGTTCTTAAGAATTGGAAGCATTAAGGTCAGCAAGCATCTAGCACAGTAATGAGAATCTTTTAAAATAAAACCAGGAAGTGGAACAGCAGGAGCAGAATTCTGTCCCTGACCCCCCGAGTTCCCAACTCCATCACCCATCCTTCTTCCTCTTTACACTGCCAGGACCTCAGGGGCCCAGCAGTCCCAGGCTTCCCACCAGGAGAGCCCCACCCTTCAGAACACAAGGGACCTGGATCCCATTCGGTAAATCAGAGGATCATCCTAGTTTAACTAGGATCCAGCTTTTAAGGATTGTGCTTTGAAAATCTTCCTCTAAAGGCAATTTAAAAACACAATATAAAATACTGTTATATATTATAAAACAATATGCAAAAGTCTCATGAGTTTAAAAAAAATAGCAATAAACATTGAACCTAATGTCTCCTAAAGATAGATATTTACTGTCCTTTGTTAGCAGGTGTACTTTGGTTGGAAAATTTAGGAAATGACATTCTTGACATGGTCCTCATTTTCCAGGAGAAGAAACTGAGGCGACAGAAGCTGGACTAAAGGCAGACGGGACCAGGGCCCAGACCTGACTCCCAGCTACCACAATGCTTTAAACAGCTTCATTCCAACAGACACTCACCTTTAAGGAAAATGGCTGTGCAAAATCCACTCTGACACACCCATAGTTTTTCCGTAACATTCTGATGACGCCTCTGGCCACACTCCAAAGGCTCTCGTTCTTCTTAGGTTTTCCCTAAATTCCAATTTTGAAAGAATGACATAAGATATAAAGCTCACACATATGCAAACATCCTGTTATCTAAAGAATAAAGTGTTTTGTTTTCTTGTTTCTTTTGTTTTTCGTGGTTCATATTGAAGGAAAAAAAACAAGAGCGAATGAACATGGGAAGTATTCATTGACATAGACCTGTCAAAATATTTAGAATTCATAGAGTCTACAAGATGTAATCGTGTCATCAGAAGAGGTGATTTGGTCAATGAAAAACCAAACATTTAACACTAATTCATTCAGCACACTATTTATAGCATTCACAAAAACACAACTGCAAACTAACAGAAGGATAAAAATGACATAGGTTGAACAATATTCTGCAGTGCTCAGATAAAATAAGATGTCAAAGAGGTCACTTATCGGAGGCCTGATGATCACCAGAGTCCAAATACCTAACATTAGGCAGCGAGTGTCAAATCCAGCCCCACGGTGGCCTTTAAGCTAACTATTCATTCAGTAAGCACTTACTAAATATTTAACATGCATATGGCACAATGGCGGCCAGATAGTAGATGCAGGACTCAGATATGACCTCATGAGATAGTCAGCGTGAGTGGAACACACATTCAGAACAGACACCTAACAAACTTGAGGAGGAATCTCAACAACAGGTACAGATGATAATCTGTGTCGATCACTTAACTTTTAAAGCCTCCAATTATCAAGGGTCCTTGAGCTGCTGACATGTTCTGGGCAGCAGGCCTGATATAAGCACCTTGCCCAACACTTCCACACTAAATAAGGACAACACTAAATTCCTCTGGAACTCTCCCAATGTCGGCAGGAATAGTACGTTGGTAAAAGCACTTTGGAAAACTGTATGGCAGTATTTACGAAAGCTGAACATGTATAGACATCATGACCCAACAATTCCAAACTCTTAGATACAGGCCTACAGAATGCACATATGGTCATCAAGAGAAATGTACAGAAATGATCAGTCAAAATCCAGAACCCAAACTGTTTTTCTACAATAGGATAAATATGGCATATTCACACATGGGAATACTATGAGAATAAACAAACTAAGCAAATGCAACAACAAGGATGAATCGCACAAACACCTGCCTGAGCAAAGGGAACCAGGCAATGAGGGGCACAGGGGGGTTCCTAGGGTCCTGATAGTATTTTCCTGAGTTCAGTGTTAGTTACAGGGAGTTGTTCACTCAGATAATTTAAGCTTCATATTATGATTTGTGCATTCTTCTATAACTCTTACACTTACTTCAGTAAGAAGCTTATAAAAAAACATTACTGCCATTTCTCAAACTAATTTATAGTTGCTTTGTTGACAGGATCCCACCAGTCCTTCTGGCTAAAATTAAAAAAAGTCTGCACATAAGCAGTAATGTCTGGGGAAAAGCCACACAGCGCCGGCCCCCACTCCCCCACCCCTCATTACCCCTGCAACAGAGATGGCCATAGTGCCAAGTGTTCTCCCACTTCCCAACCCCATGGCCACGGCCAGCACTGGCACATCTAGGCATGTCACCTCCTCCAGGTGCAGGTACACACCGCATCAGCACCACCAGTGGGCTGAGGTGGGAGATGGAAGCTACTCCCCACACCACCCTGCCCTGCCGTGTTTCCTACAAAGCTCTAAAACCAGGCAATTCTAAAAGCAACAGACTTAAAAGCAAAGAAGAGTTGGGGTAGGCAGTCCTCTTACCAGCTGTTCACCATTGTAGTGACCTTCGATGATACGATCATAGGAGATGCCGACGGGTATTATCAAGATGTCAGGGATGATATTGGTGGACAGAGTATCTACCACCACTGACAAGAGTCCTGCCCGAGCGCAGGAGGTTTTCCCACTCCTGGAGCGTGTGCCTTCCAGAAAGATCTCCAAGAACTGCTGCTGCCGAAGTAGTTCCACTATGTGCTGGGACACCAGGAGAAAGTCACACATGAGTTCAAGACTGCCCAACTTACAGAAGGCTCAGCAAACTAAACCTTAGCAACAAAAAGCAAAAGCCTACAAACTTCACTCCCGACGAAATCACTCACACAAATATTAACAGGGCAGCTCCTCTAATGCTGTATTTTGGTGATGATAAAAAGTAATCATCACCCAAGCGGTAGTCAATCAAATAATTACTCAGACAACAGTCTCTCTTCTTCCATCTACTGTGGTACGACCATAACGGCTTCAAGGTAACTAGAGATGAGACATACCCCATGGAGCAGAGCTCTATAGAGAACATCCTTCCGTCCATCTGGTGTTTCATCCAACCTCCGTCGTATGAAAAAGCCCCCAAGCTTATGGATCAAGGTACTAGGAATTCAAAAAGTTACAAAGAATACTCAAATTCCAAGTTACTTCCAAGCATTCCCCAGGTGACTATAAACCACGTGCTGCTGGAGCCACTGACAGCAAGCACCTGGACATTTTCCCATTTTACAGTTATGGACCTTATTGGTCAGCCTTCAGAACCTCACTCCATACACTGTGTCTCTACTACCTCGGCTCCCACTGAAAGAAGCCTAACTGACACATCACCATGCAAAGTCGATGCCACAGAGTTCAGAGGATCGTGAAATACTGCTGAATTTTAAAACCCTGTCCAGGCTCTCAAGACATTGACCGTTAGACCTCCCAAAATCTTCCTATGGCACATTCGCTACAAAATGAATGTGATGTTTCAGAAAGCTACTTTGGAGAATTTTCTCAAATAAATACTGTTCAGAGTGTTCTGTGAGACAAGGATACTTTTATCAAGTAAAACCATCCTTTCAAAACATGAAACAGGAATCTGGTTCATGTTCCTACTCACAGGAATGAAACATTTTTTCACAATCCAGGTCTCTTTCTGTAACACTGATAGATGCTCATAGAGCTTAGAATCACTTTCTGAGAGTAAAACCTGCAGAATACGTTCATATTGAATGAGACGAACCACCCATTAAAACAACCCACTCTGGGAAGTGGTTTGTGACCAAAGAAAGTTGCCAATAAACAGGCCAGGTTATCTAATCTGTCATTTCTGAAGGACTGATGGGCTAAGCAATGACTGGCATAGAGTTACATGACAGGGAAGCTGAGTTAAGAGAAATTATCAATGTTTACCAAGCACTTCCAAGAGATCCAAGTTGAGCAACTGTAGAGCATGAGTACGTAAGTTATTCTGATTACAAAAGAGGCAAACTTTAATGGGGCAAGACTTCTCTAGAACCCAGACTTTGCTCTAAATCTATGCCTACCAGCAACTTTCTGATGACTTTCTAATTCTGCTCCCCAGGTTCCTCGGTAATGGGAAGAGGTGCCCAGGAAAAACAAACTCTTCTAGTCCCTGGAAAAGCACTTCTGCCCTGTGGGGTCATATCACACCGTCTGGTAGATTAGAGAGCTATTTGAAGGCGAGGTCTATGTATCTGTTCACTCCTGTGTACAGCATAGCTGAGTATCAGCTGACTTCACAAAAGATAGCTTCTCGTCCGTCGTCCACGTGAGTCTGGTTGACCACAGAACTCGGAGCTAAGCAATTAGGATGGAGCTCCTTGGATTGTGAGGCTGAGGATCAGACTTCACAGCTTGCAAACCTGCCAGCCCACTTCCTTCAGTCACTCTAACGTCTTCCTCTTATTCTCTACTACTTACAGAACTGACCTTACAGGTATTTTAAGCAATGATGTTTGAAACTGCAACTTCCCTAACCAACAGAACTTCCTCCTCACCAATTGCCCATTGGTGATCAGCTGCCTTACTTATCAGTGGTAAACACCTGGGAGTCTTCCTCCCTTCTCCCTCCCTTGTCCCCTCCCCCCCACTGTTGAGCCCCTCATCTTGACTAGCATTTGCTCTTGTAAATTCAACTTAGTACACTTTTTAAGTCAATGCTCACCTCTGCAACAGCGTTACAGAGATTTTAATTTAAGCCTTCATTACCTTTTGCCTGAATATTGCAAGAGTCAGAATTGCTCGTACTCCCTCTAATCCAGGAGTTTTCAAAATGCCAATATGACCATGTCATTTCTCAAGTACAGGATACACTCTGAACTCCTGGCTTATAAACCATTTGGCCTAGTCCTCACTACCTATGCAGTCACCACCTCCAGCCTCTAGCCCTCCAATGCATCCTACATTCCAACCCTACTGAATCTTCTGCCATCGCCTGAATAAACCATGCTTTTGCATTTCTGCCTTGTCACATACTATTTCCTCTGAATGGAATGCACTTCACTCTCCTGAAAACCTCTAAAATACACACTTTCATGTGATACTGTAGTGTTACAGGTTCTGAGCCCTTCTAAATTGTAAGATGGAAGTTAACAGGTATACTTCTTCTTCACTACCTTTACACTATCACCACCATCCCACCTCCCGATTGCCAAGCCTGATACAGTAATTTGCTATCTTGTCTTTCTAATTGCCCTTTATCCATTTGGTAAATATTGCCCATAAAGTTTAGGTAGAGTATCCCATATAAAACACAGAAATAACGATGATAGTCTTAATGTTTTTTTTGTACATTTCAAAATTTTTACAATGACCGTGCATTATTTTTATAATGAAAATTTAGAAAAATTAAATATCATGTCAAAAGGTAAAAAAAAAAAAAAAATCAGAATATAATCCTTTCCATACCTTAAATTACAAAATAAGCTCATCTTACCTAAAGATGGGGATGTTGAGGTTATTGCCCGAAGCAATGTATGGTGCTTTGATGTTGTGACAGAAGAGAACGAAGGTGAGCAGCAGATAGTCAATGTGGGATCTATGAACCGGTAGAAATATAAGCGGCAAATTCGTCTGGTGAAAGGAAAATGCCAAATATAAGGTCAAATGTGCATTTCAATCGTACTTCGCAATTTCGCATTTGGTTAGAGACACTCAGACACTGCCTAATCCATGACTCATTCTTTAAAAACATTTTCCAGTAACATAAATTCTTTTTAATTTAATATGTATCTAGTAAAAACAACTATAAAATTATATATATTAGAGAAGGAGAAAAGTAATAAAGACTTCAAGTTGCACTCTGGCCGGTGTGGCTCAATTAGTTGGGCATCATCCTGTGCACGGAAAGGTTGCCGGTTTGATTCCCGGTCAGGCACATGCCTAGGTTTCAGGCTCAATCCCCACTAGGGGGCGTGTAGAAGGCAGCCAATCCATGTTTCACTCTCTCACATCTATATTTTTCTCTCTCCCTCTCCCTTAAAATCAATTAAAAAAAAAAAAAACATTTAAAAGAGTTCAAGTGGAACCCACATGTGTCTGAGAGCAGCACTCATCATGTGGCAAGAGCCCAGGCTTTGGAGTCAAGGCTGATTCAGCCTGAAATCCCAGACAAGCCACCTGTTAGCCATGATGTGGAAAAACGTCTTCATCTATCCGAGCCTTTGTTTCCTCACTTATAAAATAGGGATTGTTCTACCTGATGTTCAGAATTGTTGCAAGGTAATTTCTAAAGGAATCCTGCATGGCTGGCCGGTCCTCCTCTACCCCACTGCCCCTCACACACACAGCTCCGCAGTTATCTTCTTGGGGGAAATCTCCCAGATGGGTTGGAAAGCACAACAGTATACAAGGGAACAATTTTACAAGAATTATAAATCACTCTTCACACATGGAGAAGATGGAATGACACATTCCCATATTTCTTGCCTCGGTTGCAGCTTTAACCATCTCAAGTTGACCCTTGTGAATTTGAATGTTCCAAAAGAAGCTGTTGAACAGTTTTAGCAGCACCCATCCAGTCAGTCTGAAAGTAAAAACAAATTTAAACGTGTGTGTGTGTGTGTACATAGTGCTTGTAAGTGACTCTGTGTGCCTGTGTATCTGAACTGTAGAATTAAACAGCTAACTTTGCATATGTGGTACTTGATGGACTAAAATCTTACATTTCACCTAACACTTAGAGCTTATAAACAAATGGCCAAGTGAGTATTTCAGGGAGCAGAACAACAGAAAACCAGTCCCTTTTAGACACGGGTATGTGAAACCTGGCTTACGCCTCGTCTAGAGAGTAAGTATCAGCGGAAATGCAATGGCTGCTTCAATTAACAGAGGTGGAGGCACCTTAAGGCCAAGCACAGTGCTACTTCCATAAAAGACGAGTCTATAATAATAAAAGCATAATATGCTAATTAGACCATATGTCTTTCCAGATGAAGCCAGGGCTATAAGGGAAGCCCAGGTCCCCGGGGTCTGCCACTGGCTGAAGGGAAGCCCGGGTCCAGGTGCCAGAGGGAAGCTGGTGCCGGCAGTCGGGGGAAGGAAGGCCTACTCTTGCACAAATTTCATGCATTGGGCCTCTAATAAGAATATAAAGAGTTGGGTGTGACAAAGGACTATGTTAAAGCATCTTGGACCATAGGAAATCCAATGGTTCCACCTTGTTGTCTCATAACAGAAGGCTCTCGTTGGAAACTTTCTGCCTTGCCTTTCATACCTGATCATTGCTGGTGAGACAGTGGCGACCATTTCTTCAAGGATCCTTTTGGCTCTCTTCCTCACTTTAATGATGGCTTTGGATTGTTGCTGAGCAGAGCCCTCAGGGTTTAATTCAGCAGCCACTTCTGCAATGGCATCTTGCACCCTGATTTGGAAGTGGAAAGACAGACAATATAACTGGTTCTGTACTATATTTGGCACTTGGCATTTTGCTGTAAGTCACAAAACAAAATGTACCTCCTCTCTAATGTGTGGCAACATCTATATACATAAAAGCCTAAGCAACCGTTTGACCATTCAACTGGTAGCTATGATGTGTCCTGACCACCAGGGGACAGATTCTCAATGCACAGGCATGGAAACATGGAACAGACCGATGAATCTCAGAGGGAAGGGGGGAGGAGAGAAGGCAGGAAGAGATTAACCAAAGATCTTATATGCATACTAGACGCCCGGTGCATAGAATCGTGCACCAGTGGGGTCCCTCAGCCTGGCCTGCAGGGATCAGATCAAAACTGGCTCTCCGACATCCCCCGAGAGGTCTTGGATTGCAAGAGGGTGCAGGCCAGGCTGAGGGCCTCTAGTGAGATAATAAGCTCAAGTTTGAAGTGCTTTGTTTTGTTGTCTATTAAATATTACGGCTATCATATTCCTAAAGCAATGAACCTCTCAGGACTCTGAAAAGCCTATTTAGGAATTTAATTCAAATTCACTGGGTAACAGCTATGTGAGTTTCAATGTTCCAGCTATGCTGGGAGAGACACAAAGTTTGTACTCCCGCAGAAGAGAAAAAAAGGAAGACTGCCCATTGAGGCATATGATTCAGAGGCATCCAAAACTCACTGTCAAGTAATGTCTAACTTTAATTTTGAGGGCTTAATTATCCTCATTAGTGTGTCTCTATTAGAACCATATATAAAACTCTCCAGGAAAGATGCAAGAGGGACATAAATATTGACAAGTGTTTTCAAATAAAACCAGTAAGTTCAAAAAGGCAAAGCTTAAGACTAAAAGAGCACAGAACAATAAGCAGTGAGATAAAGGGGAAGATTCTATCCAGTTTAATAAACCTCTCCTCCCAAATGATGTAGGGAAGAACGCATGAGGTTAAACCTCCTTAAATCACTTATGACATTCTAGGTACTAGTCAAAATACCTGCATGGAATAAAACATACTTGAAGGTTTTTACCTAGAAAATAGAATATGTAATAATCCAAGGGGGTTTCAAATAACTGTGTTTTCTCCCACCGTTGCTACTGATGTTAGACTCCACACAGCCCCACAACTCATTAATATGAAAAGACCCCCACAGAACACTGATGTGCCCTAAGTCCATTCTTCAAATAGCATTTATTTCAATCTGGCCAGGAACATTTTCACAAGTAATTGACGTGATTATTACCTCTCCATTATTAACTATTCATTCACTCACTCATTCATTCACTCACTCATTCATTCATTCATTCAATAAATATTTGAATATCTATTCTGAGCCACACCTGCATTGATGAGCATCTTTCAGTCCACCCCTGTCTCTAGCTACCCAAATCCAGGGAGATGTGGAACATGGGCCACACCAATCATGTGGAGCAGAGACCTACCTTCTTCCACATCCCCATGTTCTAATGCCTGATCTCCGCAATGATTCACTCCCCCACGTCACCTGAGTTCCAGCAAGCTCTTCCAAGAGCACGGACAGTATCTTAGCCTCTTCACTGGGTAACAGCTATGTGAGTTTGAATGTTCCAACCATGCTAACTATGACTTTCTAGTACTGCCTAAGTACACAATAACTATTTGACAGAAATATAAAACTCGCTTCTCTTTTGGCTACAAAATAGAAAGTGCAATGTCTTAAACATTCATATTATAGAACACTTAACAGAAAATTTGGGAAGTTATGTGCACAACTGACTCCAACTTGCTTTTATGAGTTAGAAACCCATTCACTTGTTAATCCATAAAACAAGCCTGCCACTCCCACAGGGCATTGCCCACCAAAACCACCTGCTCTGCCTGCCTTTCCTCGGTTTCCGTGCTGAGCATAACATTTAACTTGGATATGCAAACATCTCTGGAGACAGAGTCCCAGAGCCACTAAAGGTTAATTAGGGAAATGACTTCCTGGCTCCCACTGCTGCCGCCCACCCAGGCCTCTCCCCTTTACCAAGGTGCCCCTGCCCTTACCGACTGCTGTTCAGTACGTTTTCTGCCACATTGGTGGCAAACATGCCTTTGTGGACGTCTCGCTCTTGAACAAAAAGCACGTAAGAAAGACGCCTTGCCAGCCATCCTCGGTGCCTGCAACGGGAAAAACCCTTTAGCAGAGAAGGACTCCAGGAACACTTAAAACAGCTGCTTAAAGTGCACAGTGGTCTCTCTCCTGTAAAAACAAGGTCTTATTTCACCCACTCTCAAGATTGGGCTTCTCCTGTAGCAAATTCTCCCTAGAAGTTCAGACAATTTTACTCCCGATTTCTTTCATGTGCTCTCAGCTACAATTTAAACTTGGAATTTGCGTATTAATGCCTAGATCATGCTACTCTGCCAAATAATAAACCAAATGTATAAGCAGAAGAAACAGAAATATATTACTTTATTAATCCCATACAAAGAAGCAAATATGTTGGAATATATATATATATATATATATATATATATATATATATGGGCTATAAAAGATAATTTGGAAGTTTTCATGCCACCCAGGGTTAATTTTCTGTTATTGTTGTTACAGTAATTCTTCTAAAGTTGTATTCTAGGCTCACGAAGCCAGAATTTCTTACTCTTTAAAATACACACACACACACACACACACACACACTCAACATACGTAAGGGATAGGACATATTTCTAGCAATGACTTTGTGTTATTTAGATGAGGGGTTGGGGACAGGTATCGCAGAATAAGAATGCTACAAACTCTCATTATGCAATGATTTGATGCCATTCTTACTGAGTATATAATGCCTCATTATCATTTCCTCCATAATGATATTGATGTAAATGCAGGATTTCAATTATAAATCTGTCTATTCCGAAAAGAACCAAAAGGCCCTCGAGGGAGGAGAAGTCATCTGAGGGAGAACTGTTTATGAGGCACATGCTCCTCCAACTCTCTTTCTTCCTCCCTTCCTTCATCTTAATTCTCTGGACACTTGGCCCAGTATGTTCAGTGATTAATTCTAAATTCTTTCTTCAATGAAAACTTTCAGAATCATTACCAGAATGTATAAAGTCTAACCTCTCTATGAAATCCTTTTTTAATGGACTAAAAGTTTTGTGTGTGTGTGCATGTGTGTGTGTGTGTGCGCATGCGCGCGTGTAAAACTGTTCAGACTTTGCTTCATGTAAAGATTTAATATAACACAGATTTAAATAGCCAACTCAAATGCACAGGCAGCTTATCACATTGTCGAGTTTCATTCTGCCTTGTCAATAGAACTTTCTCTAAACTGCCTCCAACTCAGGGCAACAGATAGACCCCTTGGCTTTATAGATTAAATGTTACTTATGTAAAAAAGAGACCATATGAGATCTCTTTTCTTAGGATCTTAAACATGTCTACCAAGGGAAAGAGAAAAAAAAATCAATGAACCAGGATCTCTCCTCTCACCATTAAACTCGGGGGTGGGAGGGCACAAGGAAGGGGGAGCGCGGGAATGAGAAAAAAAATATGTCCCCTGACTTCAGCTCTATTTTTTTTTTAAATCTTGAATATACATGTCGTGATCTTTTTTTAAAAAAAATATATTTTATTGATTTTGTACAGAGAGGAAGGGAGAGAGATATAGAGCTATTCAATAGAAACATCGATGAGAGAGAGTCATCGATCAGCTGCCTCTTGCACACCCCCTACTGGGGATATGCCCGCAACCAAGGTACATGCCCTTGACTGGAATCGAACCCGGGTCCCTTCAGTCCCCAAGCCAACACTCTATCCATTGAGCCAAACCGGTTTCGGCCATGTCATGATCTTTTACAATCTCATCATCAGAATATGAGCAGAAAGACTTAAAATCTGAGTATTTGGATTACTTCTTGGGCCAGTTTTTCATAGAAATTCAAGTACTTCTCATCACCTAAGCTTACCTCTTCCCTATGACAGGCATTTACTCTTAGAATTATAAGAACTGGTAGCATTTTTGGCTGCTGTTCCTCTCATGCCTCAAAGACATTCACACAACCTTGCCACCCTCCTTCCTTATCCCCTCGCCTAGATTCACATAAAACAAAGCCTCTTTTCTCTCACTCTGGTGTCTAATAGCCTATCCCCACTTGCCTGGAATTTGGAAGTAAGAATTCTAAATAAAGTCTTAAGCTAACAATAAATCAAAGAACGTTCGCACTACGGAGGAAAATACCTTCAAAAACTCTAAATTGGCTATCCTTTTTTTTAAAAGTATAAAAGTTATTCTTTTTTTAAGTATAGTCATAATAGATCATAAGACATTAAAACCTATAAACCTCTCCTCAGACAAAGCTTTATCACAATGGAACACTTCGGATGCAAAAATCAATAAATGAGTAAGTCTGAGAAAGCTATAAGTGATAGCTACATGCCAAGAAAATATTTATTATGTAAGGACAGCAGTGGCAATAGTTATAGGTCTCTCAGGTAACTATACTGTTCCCAAATTTTAGATAAAACCTATGTCAGAAGCTCATATTCTATTAACTCTCAAAAACATAATGAGAATCATCTTCTAGCACATTGCTTATTACAGAGGTGTGGGTTTTTTTGTTGTTTTTTTTTTTGAGATGCATTAGAAGTATAAGAAATTTATTTTTACCTGGTGTGAGTTTCATTGATATAGATGACATTCCGCAAACCCAAAGACGGGATACTGGGGTTGAAAAACTTATCCTATGCAAAACAAAATAAACAGAAACATAAATATACAACTGGATTGCTAGTGCAGAGCTCACATTACTAGCACCTGATAACTTTCAAAATTCAAGCATAAAGTTAGACAATGCTTCAAAATCAAAATATTGAAGAAAAACTGTTTTACTGAAAAGTACCTTTTAGCCTTTAAAGGTCACAAATTCAAAATTAATCCTTAACACCTTGCAAGGAAACAGCACTTCTTCCTTTCTTGTCCCCCATCCCTCCAACCCAAAACAGGTAGCTTAAGTCATTGACAGAAATACTGGAGATTTCAGTGTTCCTAAAACTAGGAAACTAAAAAAAAAAGCAAAATAGGGAAATTAGAATCCTTCCCCCACTGAAGCACTAATCTATCACATGTTTCAAAATCAACAGGAGATTCACTACTACCCTGTTTCCCCGGAAATAAGACAGTGTCTTATATTAATTTTTGCTCCCAAAGATGCAATAGGTCTTATTTTCAGGGAATGTCTTATTTTTTTGCATGCGCTAGGTCTTATTTTCAGAGGATGTCTTATTTTTGGGGAAACTCGGTAGTTGTATCTGAAAACTGTCATGTGAGCAGGTACTTTCATATGTAAATGTGGACTTAATCTTTGATGTTCAAGGGAAGTGATTCATGGCCAGTTTCTACAAAGTGCAGAGGAGATGCTTTATATCTTGGTACTGACACTTTATGTGTCAGGCTAGAATCAATACTATTGGCTACAAGCTCTGTCACTGAAATAAAACTGTGATTGTTCTGCAAATAAAATTACTAACAACAAAAAAGTAATATGTAGTTATTATTAGACTACTAAATCTCTTAATAATCTTGATACTTATGTGTCTGAACTAGAGTGCCTAAGTAAAGGAGCTGAACTTGATCTTAAACTTCTTCCATTACATGTTTACTTTAAATAGTTTTCGGTTGACAGTATTTTTATAGTAATTTTTTTATATTTGCTACCCTTTCTCTGAAGTCCTATTTTCCTTTTCTCTAAAAACGATTTCACTAAGTACTTTTACATGTTTTATTGAGGGTACATTATACTTTCTCAGCATTTATTTGTGCAAAGTGTATCTTTTGTCCTAATTGATAAAGTTATAGACTTCTGTTTTAGTCTTTTAAGCATTCATAATTAGAGCTATATGAGATGCTAAATTTTTAAAACTGAAAAGACAAATAATATTCTATTTAAATCTTTATTGGTCTATTAATTTGAATGGCATTATTCCTGGCACTATTCCTGGTATTTCAACGTTACCAAATTCTTACAGCAAGACACTTGTGATTTGAAAGGAACATTATTTATATCAAGACATTCTTGAGTAGACCTAAATAATGCTCTGGTTTCTCTTCAGACCCTATAAATCTTTCACCTTTTAAATATCCTATATAATAAAAGCCTAATATGCAAATTGTCCCCTCAACTGGGAGTTTGACCAGAAGTTCGACCAGGGGGTGGAGGCACTTGGGCAACTGCCCGAGGTCCCTCCCCCTGGCCAGCCCCACCTCAGCCAGTGGCAGCAGCAAGCAGCCACTAGGGACCCTACCCATGCATGAATTTCATGAACTGGGCCTCTAGTTTAATATAAACTGCTTGGGCCCCACATGAATCTCTCCCAGGTTATTTAATCCCTTTATCGTAGACCAGTGGTCTGCAAACTCATTAGTCAACACAGCCAAATATCAACAGTACAATTGAAATTTCTTTTGAGAGCCAAATTTTTTAAACTTAAACTATATAGGTAGGTACACTGTCTTTAACTTAATTAGGGGACTCCTTCAATCGCACTATATGTACACACCCACACGTGGTATTTGTGGAAGAGCCACACTCAAGGGGCCAAAGAGCTACATCTGGCTTGTGAGCCACAGTTTGCCAACCACTGTCCTAGACTCAGAATTCTACTTCCTGACAAGCCAATTCTGATTAGAAAATTCACACAAGTTATAAGCAATCTCTATACGGTAAACTAGGGGTGTCGAACTCAATCAGAGAAGGGGGCAAAATCTAAAATCCAGCCTAAATCTCGGGCCGAATGGTTTACTGAACAGTCATAAACTGTCATTGTGATGGAAACGCAGCGGAGTGCAGTGAAGAAAACCATTCGGCCCGCGATTTAGGCTGGATTTTAGATTTTGGCCCCTTCTCTGATTGAGTTCGACACCCCTACTGTAAACGATAAGACTTTAAATGGCAGAATTTCTATGTCCTGATAACTGACCCATCTCAGAGAAAGCTTAACATCCAGGTATACCTTTTAATAGGTAACTCTACTACTTTAGGACATGGCCATGTTACATTCTACCATCCTATGCTAATGCCTCTGGCACAATGACATCAGAAGCATACCTCTCATCTGATCTTCTCAAATAAATGCTGAGAAATGACACACACACCATAATGTAGAAGATTTTGCATGGCTTTTGATTTGTTGTTTGTTTTTTTTCCCCACCAAAATATAAACAGCAAGCCCATACACACTTTTTTAAGTCTTTACTTAAGCTATTAATGACCATTCTTCACTATCACAGAGTCAACAGACACCCTTCCCCCATCAGCCCGAAATAGAAATGTAGCAAGAGTACAGCAAAGCCACAGGGCTGAAGAAGTTACATGAAGGTTCCCACAAACTCTTTGGAAGAGTTAACTTAAAGTAAGATCTGTTCTTCCCCTAAAGTAACACCAATAATCACTAAAGAACCCCAATCTCGCCTAGCATCAACAACTGGACCAACATTTAATGACTATATGAATGGAAAGAAAAGTTGAGTCAACATCAATGAATGAAGTCTATTTGGTATTCACCCAATACCAAATTCACACCAAGTTGGAGATCTACGCCATGTATTTCAAGGGTTTATTAAAGGTCAACAAGCAATAGCATTCTTACCCAGCTCTGGGGAGTACAGGAATAACAACATCTTCCCACAAACGGCCTTTTCCGGCTCAACAGGCTTTCTTTCCATTTTAAGGTTGCAGATCTGAAGACAGTAGGTCTGAAACCATACTCACCCTAATAAATATTAAGGAAAAACTGGTCACTAAATGGCAAAAACATTATACTTGTCCACGTGATCTCTAAAAACTAAGATATTTCAGATAGAAGGGAAACCGATAACATACTTTTCTTTGGGCAGTGGTATAATTATGTGTTTCTCACCATGATTTTCATTCAAGGTACGCCCTCCATGATCAACACTTGGGACATGAGCAGAAGCTGAGCACCTAAGAATAGTAACAGCTGGCAAAAACTACGATTCACTCAAAGCAGAGTTCAAGGTTTTAAAACAAAGTTGGAAAAAGGTCAAACAGCTTCTGAAGGTGTCAGAGTGAATAAAATCAGACTCCTGGATCACAACAGTCAATCTTACTCTCTCTTAAAGTACACACTCCCACAAAAGAACTACCAAGGCCTTATATAGTAAGCAAGTTGTTACAATACGGCTTAAAATATTATTTTAAACATGTCATATTAGTTGAAATAGGGAAAACAATACAAGATAATGTATGCCCTTTGGATTTGGTTCATACTAAAATTTATTTTCTATTTTTAATATTTTAAAATAAACTTTATTTCCCATCACAAAATTTATAATTAGGTATAATTATGGAAAATCGATACTGAAACATTTGTACACCAGCTTTATAATTACAACACCCAAAATAACTACGAGTAGGTTTTTTCCCCTAGGCAAAAGAATTTTGCTTTTTAACATAATGTCTGTAGTTAAATTTTTTACCCAATTTTTTCTACCCAATTATTGATATTAAATTGGCTCCAGCATTTCCACCTTCATACACAACACAGGAATGAGCATTTTAGGTTAACAGCTTTCAATCCGCATCTTAAACTTACCCATTCCTCATTTGCATGCTTACAAGGGCCAACACTGTATTCTGATGAACTTGGCAGGTAAGAAACATCTATAGTGTCAAGGGTCAGTGCAGTATCCTCCATGTCACACGTGTTACTCCTAAGTCATGTGCTACAGAAAATACATATGCCATTTCAATTAATAAAGAATCCAGACAGTAAATATCTGAACTCAAAAGTCTTACTTCTATATCAAGCATGTCAAACTGGCAGCCCTCGACCCAAGGGCCACATGCCTCATTTATTTGGCCCATGTTAGCCTTTGAGTTTAGCATGCTTGTTCTACATGATTTTTGCTCCATAATAGGATGTCAAATGAACTACTGGCAGACTTCCACCAGGTTCAGTCAAAGTGTAAAAACGAACTTTGATGTTTATATGAACTCAGGCAGCCTTGATTTAAAAATAATCAACCTTTGTAACTTTAGAGTTTCTAAACAAAACTATGAATTCGTAAGAGTAAATAACTTATTCTAAAGAATTATTTTTTAAATTTTTTTATTATGGTATCACATAATTATCCTCATCCCCCCAATGCCATCCCAAACCCCTCCCTACATATGTCCCCATCCCCCTGTTGTCCTTTGTGTTAATAATTGAATAGTTCCTGGGGGTGAGAACCTATTTATTTAATTAAATATAAGTTACATGTATCCATATAAGTAGATCATTTTTTAAATTATGTCCTGGGAATTTTCGGTCATACATATTATGCAGTAATGCAAAATGGGTAAAGGCAAGGAGGACCCCTAAAGTTTCCCACTTAAACTGAATGAAACTCTTAATTTTCCTGAGACGCCTTAAATGAAACATGTGCAACGCTCTAAAACCAAACCACCCTATTTGAAAAACCTGGTTTACACGTTTTCATCCTTTTCAACAAGACTTTATTTTTCTTCTACCCTATGGGAAAATGTTCACGAACCCTGAATGACTAAAGAAGACTGATAGACAATAATCTAAAATATAAGAACTTTTTAACATAACTTTTACATTACCTTGAGATATAATAACTTCTGGCTATTTGTCATCTGGCCTTACATTACTCCTTCAAAACCCTGAAAGCTCAATTGCAGGTTAACAGGGCTCCCTGGAAGCCATCCTCTGCCTTCTTTACAACCCCCACATTGGCTTGCTGCGGTGCCTGCTATCCTCAGCACAACCACTCCCCGCGTCCTTACCAACTGAACATGCTCTGGGTGAGAGGAGAGACTAGTAAAGCAATGCACGTGGCCTGGAAGCTGTCTGAGATTCTAAACCTTAGCTCTGTTTCAGGTGCAGAATGGGGCCTCCTCGACAGGGGGAGCCCTTTTGCTACCTGAGAAGATGAAGACAGCGAGGAGAGGAGGGACAATTTGTGCCAATAGGAAGTCTATCCTTCGCTCGTCCCCGCCCGCCCACAGCGTTTATCCAAGGTCGAAAAGTTATTAAATTTTTTTTCTCTCTCTTTTTTTAAATCCTCAGGTCCCAGACTACGGGCTGTATGGGGAGCCAACTGTGGCTTCTGCAAGGGGCAGCTCCGAAGTGAAACACCCGAGTTCAAATCCCCCCTCCCCTCCCGTGGGACGCCGGACAAGTTGGGTAACTCCTTTGCCCCCGTTTCCCCGCTGGATGTGCACAAGAGGATCGCTCCCCACTCGGGATGGCCGGAGGACTGGGAGGCACTTCCAAAGCGCCTTGCACAGGGTCTGACACCCAGCGAGCGCCCAGTCCGGCCAGTCCGTCCGTGGTCACCTGCGGCCGGACCGTCCCCGGCACCTGCCTCTCTGCGCGCCCCGGCGGCCCCAACGCCAAAGCATGGCCCCCGCGTCCCGTGCAGGGGCGCAGGGTGCTGAGTCCACAGGGGAAGCCTGCCCTCCACCCGGTCTCCCGGAAGAGCACGACCCCGACCCCCACCCCTGCACGAGCCGGAACCCATTTCTCAGAGGGTCCCCGGGAACTCGGGGGGGACAGGCCAGGGGAACACACCGCCCCGGCCGCCGGCAGCAGTCCCGCCGGCGCCAGCGCGGAGGACGGCCACGCACCTGAGCCGGCGCTCCCGGCCGAGCAGCCTTCCGCGCCCGCTCCCGCCCGGCGGCTCGCACTCGCAGCTCCGCGGGCGCAGGGGCCGCCGCAGCCGGCACTTCAAGCCTCCGCCGGCGCTCGCGGCAACGTCGCGCCCCGATGACGCAACGGCGCCCGCGAGTGACGCACGGCCGTGGGGGGCGGCGCGTGGCCCTGCGCGCTGCACGCGGGGCGCGTGGGGGCCGAGTGTGTGCGCACACGTGTGCGTCCCTGTGGCTAACGGGGGTGTGGCAAGTGTGTGCCCCTGTGGCTAAAGAGTAAGGTGACCAGGCGTCCCGCTTTGGGCGGGATAGTCCCGCTTTGGAACAATTTGTCCCGCGTCCCTCGGGGTTGTAAGAAAGTCCCGATTTTTGGAAAGATTATATTTCTCCTTGAACTAAGGTCTCCAAGTCTTCCTTAATCTCTCCAGCCCTCAATAATGATCCTCTCCTGTGAAATCTCACAGATATACTGTGGTACCACAGCTTGGATCTTTATTGTGTCATTCTTCTACAAGATAATAAACTCATCATCAGTGTCAAAGATTCTTTCCAAAAATCGGGACTGTTTTTAAAACGCCGCGGGACAAACTGTTAAAAATCGGGACGTCTGGTCACCTTACTAAAGAGGGTGTCGGGGTGTCCAAACGAGTGGTTATTCTGCCCGCGCGCCGAGTCACCTGAGCGCGTGTGTGCCTAAGTGCGCGCCCTGTCACCTGCTCATCCGGGATGTGGGATCTCCACCTGGCTGGGCTGGGAGTGAGCGTGCGCCTGGGTTTCTGTGTATTCGCGTGGTGTGCCTGGCGAGGTCGGTTAAGATTATGTAGAATTTGTTTGGGATGGGGCAGATGGGGGTTGGGAATGGCCCCGTTGTGTAATTTCTGTAATAGTGGCCGGGTGTCTTTTCCTTAAAGGAAGAAAAGGAGGAATTCAGAAAAGAAACGTAAGACTGGAAAGTTTGAATCCAAGTTTGCCTGCGTTCAGCCCTTTAAAGTACCAGCGGGCACCAAGAGGTTCAGTGTGTGCCTGCCATAAACAAGGCCGGTGGTGATGCAGAGCATTAGGACGTCAGAAGGGAAAGATGACCTTTTACATGCACTTAAGCAGCAAGCCAAAGCTGAACCAGCAGCTGGGAATACAAAGATGATTGAGAAATAGTCCCTGCCCTCACTCCTCTGCCACCAGTCCTCATCTCCTCTGCATACATTAACCCTAATCCTCAGTTCAGAACAAATATTTGTCCATGTCCACTCTTCACACCCCTCAGAGCTCCCTGACAGTCTAAATGCCTGAGCCTGGCCGGTGAGGCATTCACAGATCCTAGTAAGCTTTCACCTTTCCCACTGTTCTCCAGCAAAAGTCCCTTACTTCAACCTCTCTGACTGTCCCTAGCCACACCATGGATACTCATGCTCATAACTGGGCTCAGGCTACCACTTTCCCCCAAATCTCTTGCTCCTTGAACTAGGTCTCCAAGGCTTCCTTAATCTCTCCAGCCCTCAATAATGATCCTCTCCTGTGAAATCTCACAGATATACTGTGGTGCCACACCTTGGATCTGTATTGTGTCATTCTTCCACAAGATAACAAACTCATCATCAATGTCAATGACTTGCCTCAGTCTCTTAGGTAACACTAAGGTGCTTTGTTGTATTGCACTCAATGAATAATTTGTTGAAGCTGAGGAACAAGAAGGAAAACAGGAATTCCTGATCTTGAACTTTCTATTTCTGTTTCCATATCTATTCCAAAATACAGGTGTGGACCTCTTGTTTTTTGTTGTTGTTTTGTTTTTGTTTTTTTGTGTTTTTTTGTGTGTTTTTTGTGTTAGTTTTTGTAGTAGCAACAAACTTTATTATCATTATATTGATTTGAGAGAGAGAGAGGAAGGGAAAGAGAGAGAGAGAACATCGATGTGAGAAAGAAACCCGCAACCTAAATATGTACCCTGACTGGGAGTCCATGAACTTCCAGTGCATAGGACAATGAACCAAAATGAAGGTGTGGCCCTTTTTTTAAAAACAATCCAAAACAGTAGGTGTGGTTATTCATCTCTATGTCTTGAAGTTAAAGACCCTGTTTTTATCAACCCCATGTGCACCTTAGCTCCAAGCACACAACTAAGTACACAAGGACTATGTTGACTAGATTACTGATACCTGACCAAAAAATGACAAGAGAAAAAAAGGTGGGAAGGAGTGGCACAGAGGAGAGCCTCAGTGTTTTATTCACTGCAAAAGAGAAAGTAACGAGAAATGAAGCAGAGAAAACATCACAGGAATTAAAAGGTAAGCCAGAAGGAAAAAATAGATTGTCTTACATGAAGCTCAGTTGTAGGACACTTTTGTAACACCCATTGTGCAAGGGTTCACTGTACTGGCAGAAGATGTGGATTGCAGATCTTCAGGTTATTTAATGAGAACAAGTGACACCCTTGGCAATCTGTGTTATTGGAACCACAATAACTCAAAGTAATCCAGTCCAGCCAGCCAAGATGGAGCAAGAAGGACTGGATTTACTCTCCTGCTAAAACAAATAAAATAAGAAACAAGCAACAAACACAGAAAAAAACAAATAAAACAGGCAACAGTGCAGGACACGCATCCATAAGGGAGAAGGAAGAAATGAGGTGAGCATCATGACTGGTTCAGCTTCCCATTTAGAGAGAGTTGCTAGGCTGCTATGCAGAGGTGAATCCAAGAAGAACTAGGCAGACTTCCTGAGATGAGATAAAAGTAGAAGAGCAGCCGAAATCGGTTTGGCTTAGTGGTACAGCGTCAGTCTGCAGACTGAAAGGTCCCAGGTTCGATTCCGGTCAAGGGCATGTACATTGGTTGCAGGCACATCCGCGGTAGGGGGTGTGCAAGAGGCAGCTGGTCGATGTTTTTCTCTCATCGATGTTTCTAGCTCTCTATCTCTCTCCCTTCCTCCTCTCTGTAAAATATCAATAAAATACATTTTTTAAAAAGTAGAAAAGCAGCAAGGCCAAAGCAGGCAAAGCTGGGAGTAGATTACCAGAGAGAGGAGAGTTATACAGAGAAAGAGGGAGCTCTGGAAACCTGCAGAAGAC